CCATGGAACGTCGCTGGTGCCCGTGGGCTTTCTAACGTATAGCGGTTCGACGTCGTGCTTCCCGTGCTGGTTGACAAGGTTTTCACCGACGTGCTGGTAATGTTTGTTGACGTGGTGGGAGCAGTATCGTCGACTTCCGGAGGCAATCCCGTGATTTGGCGGCTGGTCCGATCCGATGCACGGGAATATTGACTGGCACTGGACTCGTATTGCGGCTTTCCGGGGGGGGGGGGGGGGGGGAGGGTCTGTAGCATCCGTCAGGCTACCCAGCACCTTCCACCTATTTGTCACGATGAATCACAAGTGCTGGGGGTTTATTAAACCACCGAATAGCTAGCACTGAGACGATGCGTCAGTCGTGGCTGGCTCTCGAGTCGCGAAGAAGCACGCGATTTTCTTTCTTTCCTCCAGATGGTTGAGCCGCTCTTGCAGTCGACCCACTACGTGTGGGTAGCAATACCATGAACTCGAGGTGGTTAAAGGTGGAAAGTAGATACGAAGCGCAAGCCGTAAAAAAGTAAAAGCCAGATTCTCCTGTCTCTCATTTCCCATTAGCAGCCATTAGCTTGTACATTGAGCACTATCTGACAGGAAAAGCATGCTACGTTATACTCGTTGGGCGTAACCTCGTTGATTTTAGAAAGGTTTAGTGAGCGTTGGGCCGCAGTGCCATGAATACAGTGAACTAGTATATACCATGAACTCGAGGTGGTTAAAGATGGGAAGTAGACCCGAAGCGCAAGCCGGAAGAAAGTGTGCGTCTGCCACCTCTCGTTTAGTCCTTGGAATGTCCACTGTATGGCGGTGCTTCTGTATGGGGAATATATGATAAAAAAATGCGACATGGTGGTACTTGGAATGTCGAATATATGGACGAACGGGCCCACAGACAGATGCATGGATGGACGCATGAACGGACGCAGGGGCGGATGCATGGACGAAAGCAGCGACGGACGCATGAACAGACGCACGCACGGACGCACGGATGGACGCATGGACGGACGGAAGCAAGAACGAATGGACGGACGAATGCTTCGCCCCACTCTCCATCATCCACTCCGGGGATATGCTGCGAATTTTTAAGTGTGAATACACTTTATAAGCGACCCCAAACCATCCGCCGCCGTCGGCGGCGTTCGCAGTCTTCTCTCTATTTTTAAAAGAAAGAGGACTTGGCGGGCCGCAGCGCGACGCTCTACCGAATAAGCCACGGACGCTACGCTGATATCGGTGTCAGTAACGCGCCTTATACCCCCTACCCCTTCGCTCGCTCTTCCGCTCTCCTCGCTCGCTGCAGCTGCGCGCGCACCCCTCTCTTTCGCGCGCCCGCCTTCTTTCTCAGTCTCCCGTCGAGAGCGGGTCGTGAGGGGGAGTAAAGTTAAAATCCGTTGGCATTCGCCAGTGAGTTAACGTAAACTCCCCCGTGTGATCAAATTGCGATTCCCAGGAACCATTACATCATAAAGGAACCATAGTGTGATTAATAAATATAATAGTGCGAATTAATAAATACCCCTCATAGCATCACCCCGTGTATTCGCACTTAACCATGTTCACCCTCGGGGAAATGCTCAGGAGTTTCTTTAGCTCTTGCAACTTCAGTGTACAGTAAATTGGGATGCTGCTAAAAAGATACGGTTCTGGAACAAGGTAAGAAGCAACACCATATATAATCATAAGAGGGAAAGAAATCGCGCGATCACAAAATGATTCTGTGCACTTCCTGGGGAAAATACTATTCAAAACAATTCTCACGGTTAAAAACGCCACTGAGAAGTGCGTCTGCTTGTCAGATCGCCATGGTGATAAATATATTCCGTGTGCTCACACCACATTGCCCAAGTTTGCGGCGCCACGCAAAAAATGCCGCCTGCATCTTGCCATGAGGTGAACTCAAGTAAATGCGCCGCAGAGTGAGGGGGGAGGGGGTATTGCGTGAATGTTGCATGATTGGGTATGAATTGGGAATGATTTTTTTGTTATTTCTTCTTTATTATTACTATTTATTGAATGAAGGAGAAGCGTTGCCTTCAAAGAGTGGTGGGACACTCATGTGCGATACAGTACCTACATATACCTGGTGGATAGTGAACGATTGTGCAGCTCGAGCAGTCGGTTTTCACTAGCAGACACCGCCTGTGTCGGCTTTGCGGGGCGAGAAGGGAAGGGGAGCAAACAGTTGGTGCAAGACGCAAGCATGCGGCATGATACGCAAGGCGCAAGCATGCGCAGTGGAGATGCGGGTATCACCACCGGCACCCGACGCGTCACATCGTGCGACTAAGAAATGCTCCGCATTCAAAAGGCTAAGCTTCGGGCCCTCCAGAAACAGAATAGCGAGTACCATGACGTGGTCTGTGTGGTCGCAGCATAATACGGATCTGAATCCCTCTTTACCTTGTTGGTAGCTGACCATCTGGCAAAGCTTCTAACGTCGTGCTCAGTCATCACCGATTCCTTCACAGAGGCAGAAGAGGCAGCCATAGTTCTGGATCTTCTCTACGCTACCACCACAATTGCAAGCGGCTTGAACGCAGCTACTCTGAACTATGCCAATGGCTTAATATGTCGTACCGCTGCTCGCTTACTACGCATCTGGCAGCCACAGCATTCTATAAACCTCGTCTCGACGCCAGCAGATGCCAGCCTTCTTGGAAAAGAAGAGGCTCATTCTCTAGCCTGAGGTCTCACATTGTGGGCAGGAGAGATAGAGCCCCTTCTAGGGCTGAGAAGCAGTTGCTCCCTTACTGGCGTATTCTGGAGAACTATCGAGACCAACGTATAATATACACAAACCCATCCACACCCCTAAAAATCGCGCAGGCCACAAATGGACGACGCGTACAAACTCGGACTGCTCCGTACCCCCTATTACTAAACACCTCATACCCCGACCATTTCATACTTGTTCACAGGTGTAGGTAGCTGTTCGTTTCACTATTCTTTGTTTTAATTATTCGTGATTTCTTCTATCTGACTTTGCTAAAGTTATTTTTTTACGTTTGTGATTGTAATGGTTGGCTTTTTTATACTTTTATACTTGTGAATACTTTACCCTTTATTTACCCTATTCATGCAATCTTTGCGGCAAACCACAATATTTCCTCCACATCTTCCTCACATGACCCATCTTTTCTCATCCCCACCGCCGGCTATGGCAGTGTCTTACTGCACGACGATCATGACCAACACTTCGGTATTCAGTATTCAATCAGCGTTACATGATCTCCTGTGCAACGAAGAGAATTAAGCTTCAGAAGTTTTACTTTGCTTTTCAAGGGTACCACTTACTGTGAAGGAGCACTCATCACCAGCATAATCACATCACCATGATTGAATCGGTATAGAGCCGTGCCGTACGTTTCATTTTTCCGGACTATTCCTACAGCTCTAGTTCATCGAAACTCAAATCACAAGCAAACCTTCCCAGTCTTGCATCACGTCATCAAGTCACCCGCCTTTCTCTCTTCCACAAGTTCTTTCACAAATCACTGAAAGTCGACCTCATTGTTCCCGCTCATCGCCACTCAAGCCACGAAAAGACCGTGTACCCCCCTAAATCTCACACTATCTCACTTGCATCCTCCTTCTTCAAACTGACATCAAGGGACTGGAATGACCTTCCCACCAGAGCAGTGGTTCAATCGGACCCAATCATGTTCAAACATGTCATAGAAGAACTGCTGTTCTAGATACGCCCACCCCTCATCTAGAACCCCTTCTTCAGTGGTTTTGAGGAATAATCAACAAATAATAAATAAATAAACAACTAAATAAATAAATGTACCATGAGGGCGCTTCTGCCCACACGTTTTACAATGGCAATAAATGTTTCTACTAACACCGCGCCGAAACCTCGTTGAACGTTCTCGGTGTCATCCATCGTTCGCGCATCGTGTTCAGAAGAACAAAGCGGGTACTGGGCGCTTATCGTCCTCAGCTTTCACAAGTAAGATTTTCCAATGCATGCAGGTTTTCTTAAGTGAATCGTTATGCTTGCTTTTTAAGGTGGTGTTGTGGTCTCTCCATTGAGCCTAGGTTGACCCAGAACACTGTTGTGGTGACACAGTAAACCGCCTAATTATCGCTTAGCACTACTTATTATTTATGCACCAACAATTACGTTTCAGCAATCATCCTGTTGCCGCTATGCCTAACTGCGTTTTGTACGAACCCGCTATATTTCTTTTTTGTATAATGCTTTGATCTTGCTTCAAGAGACGGAAAACTTCTGTAGCATGTGGCGTCACAGGAGCCAACATTTTCACATGTCATCTTGGTTTTCCAAGGTGGCAACTGCTATGTAGCCAGTTGCTGCCTTGAAAAGGAGAATACCACTGTTAAAACATTGGCTCCAGCGATGCCACCTGTAACAGATTTTTTTCGCCTCTTTAGCTTGCGTGTTTTGTAATTTCGTTTTATTTAAGCATTACTAGATGTTATCGTACCTGAATTCACAATCTCCTGTTGCTGCAGCTTCTTTTTATTTCGAACAACGTTTTCTTCCTCTTTATATATATATATATATATATATATATATATATATATATATATATATATATATATATATATATATATATATATATATATATATATATACATATATATATATAATGGCATTTTCAAAAGCAGAATTTTCACCAATCCCGTTGACCGGTATGGGAGTGTACAGTCAGCCATATCTTTAGCTATCATGCATGGGTGGCAGTTTTTTTCTTTGTATTTTCCCCATATGACTGAATTAAGTTTGAAACAAATGATGAAAAGTGTACGCTCTCAAAGCCCGTGTCCATGAAGCAATTTCTATGAATTATTTCTATAATGTGGCGCTGACAGACAAAAAAGTCGCTGCTGTGCAGAATAGCTAAAGTTGTGGCTGACTGTACTTATGAAAAGCCAGCATTGTTATTTTGCCCCCCCCCTTCTCCACATACAACACAAAGGACAAACACTTGTCTGTTTTTCGGACAATAAATAAACGTACTTTCATATTTTTCCAGGGGACGCACAGGAATCTTACGCCGATGTACAGGTATGTTTTATTGTTTTTTTACGTAATGAAAAAGGCATGTTTGTTAAGGGTTTGAAGTAAGGGGCTGTGGCGCAATATACTTTTTTTTTTCACTTGTTGAAGTACATTCTGAGCCTCAAGTGCTGTACACTATAGCACTCTGTAGAGTGGGCAGGGGAGCGCAGTGTCACATAAATCTTCGTAAAATTTCATTCTTTCCACCAAACACAGATAGTCAGACCAAATACGGACACACAAAAACCGCGCGCTGGCTACAAGTGCACCGGTCATCACTTGAGTTCTCTCTGCTCAATCAGACAACAGTCTATCTAGTTGTATTTGACACACTGTTAGCGGGAAGATATCTTTTTGTCATAGAAAAAGAAAATGTGCTAACCCATGTGCTTCACTCTTCACCTGCAGTCAAAGCAAATTTGTACGACTGCACCTTTCCCAGTTTTACCCCCACAAATATTGCAAACACCCCAGGTAATGCTTGCGGATTGACTCATGAACAATACAGCATATGCATCACATGCCATAGATGAGACACAAGAAAACAAGTGGCATACAGTAGCCCTAGCAACGTGAACAGATCAGTTGCTTTCCAACAACTCGCTTTCTCTTTGTATTGTTTTGTTTGCTATTGTCAATATACATTACTTCTTTTGTATGACTCGAGTGGCACTGCAAGATATTTTACTGGTGTTCTTGTATTTAAATTAACAAGATATTCCGCTGATTTTGAATGTAGCAATAAAATTCAGGCGTTGAAGAACAAGAATCAGGCCTAAGCCCGCGGCACGTAACGCGGTTTATGTGACACTATCATTCTGATATGCCATGGCTACGCCATCCACAATTATCTTACCGACATTATTGTCCTCCAATACTGCAAGCAAAGGAGCATGGACAACGCAATCAAATGCTTTTTCCAGATCCAGCTGAAGTGCGGCCACATAATCTTTGGTGATGTCAACACGTTTTGGAATAAACGGCTTACTATTAGCATTTTTTTAATTATGAAACGACCTTTGATTCCACACGTTTGGAGTGGACCAACGATATCTTTTATTGCGGAATGCAGTTTAGTTGCCAAAGTTTTCATAATATCTTGTAGTCTACGTTTGTCAGTGCAATTGACATGTGCCCTGTGATGTGCCTAAACTTTTCAACGTCATCTGTCTTCAAAATCAGAACGACACGTTATTCACCAAAGCAAGGTAATAATTTTTTCCTCATATGCCTTGTTAGAAACGCCGGCGACTATACGAGACAATTCCCTTTAAGACACTTGTACCACGTGGCAAAAAGACCATCTGGCCCCGGAGACTTGCCGAAAGTTAACTTATTAATTTCCCATTCAACTTCAAATACAGCTATAGATAATTCCAAATCACTTTTCATTTCATCACTAATTTGTGGCATGCGTCCTAAATATTAGGTAGCTCAAAATGCAAAACCGTTTATTTTGTTAAATGACACACCGGAACACTTCCTGTTAGAACCTTTCTGGAGGAGCAAGGTTTTTGTATAGTATGTGGGTCCGACTGCCTAATGTATAACAAACAGGAAACAATTGACTGCATTCTTAATAATGTTGGGAAGGGGTATACGTTTGGGATCTTTTGCAGGAGACAATTAAAAGCGAATTTTCATTAGGCCCTCATAAAATCAGGTGTTTAGCAATGCAGAATGACGACGGATTACGATTTGGTTTAATCGTGATGACTGTCTTGCATGGTATATGGTGCTCTCGAATGGCTAGATTTTCTTGTGAACCTGACAAGATGCCAAAAAGGCTTGTGAAGAAAATATATCAAGGTTTCTTGATGTAGTAAATATCAATGAATGGGTTAATTCCTTCGTGGTTAGAAAGGACAGATGATCTGCTCACTGAGAAAGAATTTTAAAGCGCGATGTCCTTCAGCAGTGCTTGATGGTCGTAAAAGTGTTTGTTCTGTCATCTCTGTTGTGTATTTATCCTATCCCCTTGTGTGTGACGTTCAACCGGGAATTTAAAAAAAAAGTCATCATGCAGTAGATGGTGTGCTCGACTTATTTTACTGCATAGGGAGAGGTGATACGTTGAACGCCCATTGATGGAACATTTTTTACTTTGATACGTGATGGTGTACATTTTTTCTACGTCATTTCCGTGACAGAAATACGTCGCTGAAGTCTTTTTGAGCCCCAGTACAAAACACTTTCGTGTTAATGATCTCAATGTTCCTTTGTTAAAGCTAGAAAGCATTCGTTATAAGTAAAATGTAGCTAAAAATTGGTTTCTTTTGAAAATGGACAAATTTTTATTATAGGACTGCCTTGATTATGGTTGTAATACTATTCCAAAATTTTCAATGAGAAATTGATTCATATTCGCCTTCGATTCGACATCATCAATTTAGATTCTTATTTTATTTAGCTCTGAGATTCCCTGTTCACACATCGCTAGTTATATTGCTCTGAATACATCAACGAAAAACTTGCCCTAGCAGGCTTGATTTCAGGAATAGAATTTCGCTATTATGAGTGACAAAGCGTTTTAGAACAGCAATACGAACAACCAGGCATCGCACAATGTGAATAGCGTAACGAGTGGGTCGTCCAATGCTTCATCCTATAACAAACAAAAGCTTATTTTTGTTCAACTAATAACTGTGGGGAATACCCACTATAGGCACAATTTTTCATAGTGTTCGGCCTCTGCATTAACATATGACACAAAATCCCTCGCAATAGTTTGGTGTATGCCACGCTTCTCAGAAGAATGACAAAGAATAGCATAGCGAATGCCTGCCTACTGCCCAAAAGTTTTTTTTTTTATTTATGCCCTATAGTGGGTACCAAAAAAGTGTGCTTGCAGTAGTTAGGGTTTTGAAAAGGCTCGGAAAGCCACTCTTCTAGCTTTCGCTGTCACTGTACTGCGCCTTCCGCGCAGGCCTGGCGTTTTTTTAAACGGCCTTCCGACTGATACGCGTTTTTTTAATGATGGTGGGGAGTCTAAAATGAGTATATGGCACCTTCATGTTGCAGGCTAGCTGACTATAGTGTAGGACCAAAAGGCGGCATTCCATCAATTTACCTGTTAGCCAAAGGTGAGGTTTTTAGTTTTCACATCTCTTAGATCTTTTCATATGTTTCAGAGTTCAGAAATTTTCAGATGTTTTGGAAGGACTAATGCGCTGTAGTGCTACCTAAGTTTTGTGTTACTAAAGAGCAGGAAAATTTCTGCGGTGAAGGGAGCATGCTGCGGCGCGTTTGTATGGACGCATGGAGAGACAGTGCTACACCAGCTAGTCAAAGAGAAGCATTGCATCTAAAAAAAGCACCCACGTTAGCTAGCGGAGAGTTCAGCGCGCCTTGCCAACACGCTGACCAGAAGGGGTAGAAATCCGATTAGAATCGGGGAGGAAAACGCGAGCGCGGAGGAGAGTGTCGCTACTTTCAAGATTCAAGGGTTTTAACTAAAACATAAATGGCGACACTATCCTCCACGCGCGTGTTTTCCTGCTGCATTGTTCTCGCATTTTCATTCTCTCCTGGCGACGCGGCGCTGTACCCTCCACTGGCTCGCTGTAGCCGCATTACAATCAATGCGTGCTGGGTTATTTAGCTCCTTGGCGTGCTATACGACATTCTGTCACTTGAAAAAAAAAACAACGCCTGGCCAAAGTAGGCTTCAGGTAGAACACAGTGGCTGATATATATTTGATGTCTTGGATAGGTAAAAGCGGAAGCACTTTAAAAAAAGAGTACCAACCAGTGGTGGTGTGGTTTACCCCGTCTGCGCTTTGGCTGTCTGTAACGTGGGGGCGTGTTAAGCGCTATGATGTAAGCGCGCAAGGTTTACACTGAAGTTTTCTAAAGACGATAGTCTTTCTTGTGGACCTTCGACGCCAACATTTTGGTCTGTCTGTTTTTATATCTCTCAGTTTGTCTGTCTGTCTGTGCGTTTGTCTGTTTGTCCGCAGAAACGATACTTCAAATGGCACCAAACAATACCACAAACAGCCAATTCCATCCGCATTGCCCACCAACGTTGCTCGAGTTTCAGCGTTCATACTTCTGCGATTGTCAATTGAAATGCTGTTATTGCGCATATGTGAGGCACCATAACAACACATCGAGATTTTGTATGTGTGTCTTTATATAGAGAAGGCACACATAAGTAATTCTAAGGACCGTAGCGTTTATCACGCTGCGCTGACATTGCAACGCGATGCTCAAAAAGGCAACTTCTTTCAACGCTTTGCTAAGACGACACGGTGGTGGCACCTGCCCGTCACTTTGCGTTCTACTCCTTATCGCTTTCGAGACAGGCGCGCATCTTTCTCCGCGGGCGCCTATGCCTTCCTTCGTTTTTGAAGATAACTGCCAGATAGCGCTCGTGTCTAACGTGCCTCGATGCGCGGGTTCGCCTTCGCTGCACGAATCGAGACTTTCTAACGCAACGCTTCCATAATACAATTCACCAATTTTCTAGCGAAGAACATCAAATCAACGTTTTGTTCACTCTCTCCACTGCAAGACTATCGTCTTTCGACATTTGCAGTGAAACATGCAGATATGGGGTCATTTTTCATTTATTGTGGTCCTGGCGAGCTCAAGAAGGTACCCTAAAATAATGTGGTGGTTTACCTAAGAAAGTCACTGAAACAAGTGGCCCCGAAGCCATTTTATACCGACACTGACGCAAACAATTACAGCAGTGTTACCAAAAAGCCACAGTGGAATTAATACACGCGCCTGTATTCTGTTCCAATGGAACGACGAGATATTGTATTCCACTACTCATCTGAGTATTCTAAAACGAAGAAAAAAAGCTGATTTCTCACAGATAAGGTTCTAATACTATGGTAAATTATAATTACAGTTTAGACATACTCAAACGCGCGCACATTTTGGGGCATATAGACACACAAAAAATACGTGCGGAGGCTCACATACAAGCTAGCGCGCAAATGTATACACAAGCGCACGCAGGTACTGTCGCACATACGCACGCGCGACTACAGACATGCACAAACGAATGGACACGCAAGCATACACATACGCAGACAGACGTGCTTGCGCATGCGCGCACACTGGCCTGAATACAGGCATACCATACGCACGCGCTCACATAAACACACAAATGGACTCGTACACTCTCCGGTGCAAGTAGTGACATACAAAATCGCAAGAAAACGCAGGCGCAGACGTGCACACACAAACCAGCACGCACACACCAGCACGCACACACTAGCATGCGCATGCGTTCACATTGCAAGCTATGAATTAGACGCGTTAGCTTACAAAGTGCATACTTTCAAAACTAACGCATGTGTGAAAGCACAACAACGCTTTGTCAGGGCGCAGCTAGAGAAAACAATTTAGCATATAGTGACTCACTCAGAAAAGACCATATTCACAATTACCTCGTTATTGAACTCAACGTGCAGTCTGGTTATGCAATGAGCATTGTAATGTCCATACCTCTTTATCGAGATATCCAGATATAAATAAGGAAATCGCTTAAAATTATGGCAAAACGGCCGAATTAGTAAGGGAATGGAACACTAAGGCAACGCTAACAATGCCCTCGCAAAGAACGACGCGCTTGGAAAGATCGGTGTTCTTGCATTTTGTTGTTAGTGCAGGGCATTTTTTTTTTACCTTGTGGAATATAAAATAATTTTACTCTTTTCTCTGGCATGCTGCTGCACCGAAACGCGCAGCAGCCAGGCATCGCTACGAAGCACAAAGCTCGGAATTCAACTCCGAAGCACGTTTTTAGCGGGGAGCCTGGCGGGTTCATGGTGTGTGCGGTGAATGAAAAGTGCACGATGTTTTTAGGGGCATAGCTTCTTAGGGTGTAGGTCTGTAAATTTACCGTTGGTGTATCTAGCCACCAGTGGCACATACCCGTTCTAGAGCGGGTATGTGTCACAGGGGATGCGAGATTGCTTAGCTTACAGGTGAAATGAAATAAAATTGAAAACCTCTATTTTAGTCCTGCAGGACGCGCTTAGCGCGTAGAGGGCGTCTCCCACGTAGCAACCGACAGGGAGTACCTGGCGGCCGCTTCGTGTGCCTGCTGGACGGCCCATTGCTAGTCGGCGAGAAGTGAGCTCCTGAGGCACCTCTCCCACTTGTTTGAGGTAGAGTTAGGATGACTTTTTCTACACTCCCAGAGCATGTGTGCGAGTGTCGCCGTGTGTCCACAAGATGGGCATGTGTCATTGGGGTATGCATCAGGATAATTAACTTGAAGCGTGGCAAGGTTTGGGTACGTGTGTGTCTTCAATTGGCGTATAGTTAATCACAAAAAAAACTTTGGAATGGTCAAGTAGCATAACTAAACAGAACCTCTGTAGCAGCTTCAAGCATCGCTTAGAATCTCTACACGCACATAGGTTTGATATACATTTTAGGGGCAAAGCTTCTTAGGGTGGGAGTCTGTCCATCCTCCGTTGTCGTACGTAGCCGCAGGTGGCACATATCCGCTCTAGAGCGGGTAAGTGCCAAAGGAATTGCGATATGGGAGATGGCAATACTTGGAGTGTTCACTAGATGGACGCATGGACTCACTCATGGATGGACGAACAGACAGACTAGCAGATGGACGGACGGATGGATGGACGCGTGGACCTACGGACAGACGGATGGACGCATCGGTACACGCACGGATGGTCGCGCGGATGGCCGGAAACAAGAACGAACGGACGGACAAAAGCACGGATGGGCTGACGTATGCTTCACCCCACTCATCCTCATTCACTCAGTGGATATGCTGTGATTTTTTCCCGCACAATTCACGTCGTCATTCAGCGCTGCTGATGTGCCTGCTAGCGAAGGAAGTGTGAAAAGAAGAGGGGGTTTATGGTGCGGCGAGAGTGAGACGGCCTATATCGAAGAGTGTCGCTATTTTCCAAAATATAGAGATTTTAACTAAAACATAATGCTGCCACCTACCAGTGGCTTTCCGTTCTAGAAAAACTTATTTTCATCAAATTACTGCTATATGGCGTCCATATCTTATACAGCGCCTAGTAGTCATCTTTCTCGTGCAATCGTCAGTTGTTTTATTTTCTCTCTCCAAAAAGAAGACTATCGTCTTTGGGCGCCCTTTGCCAGTGAAGCACAGAGATACACCGCCCATTTTTTTTTGTGAACTTCACGTTAGCAAAGCATCACGTCGATCGCAAATGTTACTCCTAAGGTTTTTGGCTCCCCTTGTGGTTTGTTGCACCGTAATTTATTCATCATGTGTCTGTTTTACTTCTGTTGTTTGGTATTATTTTTCCGCTGTTTTCCCATCTTTTCATTTTTACATCTTTTTTTTTTCAATACGGCTTGTGTTTTCCCCGCCAGAACATCTCTATTTTATTATATATTGCTAGCTATGTTGCTATTGTTCCCCAGCACAGTGGCATTATTGTTGTTTTTGGGAGCGCTAAGTCTGTGATTGAAAGAATGATCGACAATTTAGGATGACGTACATGAAGCCTTTTTCACTGCTACATCAGGTCGGCGCAGTGTTGTCATACCTCTGCAATCACTTTGAGAGAGAGAGAGAGAGAGAGAGACGCAGCTTCATTTAAAAAAAAAACGTCTGCATGGCGAGATATTCAGGGATCTGCACAGATATCACCGCTGAGGTATCGGCCACGAGCCCTTGAGCTGTGACGGCGGCCTTGAGCTCTATTTTATTGTTTGCATAGGTACGCAAAAAAGCATATTGAACGCTAGTTGCATATCGCTGTGCTCCAATATTTGTTTACATAAATGAAGCAGCATCGCAAGCTGTACCGCTAATAATATACTTTGCGAGCTTTGTAAACACGTCACACAGTATACCATTTTACAGTAACTATAAAGCGCTGATATATTACTTCTTCTTGCAGACGAAGGAGGCGAAATTGACGAAGGCCTAAGTGGAGATTACATCTTGCTGGGTGCCAACTCCACCTGCTTTGTTATGGGTGTAATAGAACCTAAAAAATTACATGGTGAGACAGCTGTTTTTAATATTTCTCAGTTAAATGACCATGACAGTATTTACGAGCATATATACTCCAAAGTGAATTTTATACTAGCCTTTGTGTGTGCGGTTGATACAAAAGCCATTCATTTTATCGGCTCGTCCTGTTATCTGTATTGAATATCTTTTCATTGATACTGACATATTTATTTTGCCCTACCAAACTTCAGAAATGTCTCAAACAATATCGAGATTTACTACTTGGAGCTATTAAATCAAAACAGACAGCTCCATGAGCATTGCATGTCTTGCGTGTATGATGAACGTGTCTGACAAATCATGGGTAACATCATCTTCACCATAATAATCAACGGCGTCGTGATCAGCCTATGGTAATGACCATTCGAAGCCAAAGGACTCCCCATGAGGTCTCAAATCAGGCCTACTTTGCCCGAGCTAATTCTATTTTATAACTGCGAACGCCTTCATCTCGCTCTCTATTTAAGTCACTGCTGTCCTCGCCTTCTCCTTTCCTGCAGTATACCTAGTTGCTCTTTCTCGCCACGTATGACGTGGCTGTTCCCGGTCAACTTGTTTTACTACGTCAACTGAAGTATCAGCTGCACTTGTTCCTTATGTGATTTCTTCCTTATTCTGTTGATGTCTTTGTGCAACACCTATATATAACGTTGTACAGGCTTTAACGTTGGTTTCTTATGGGATTTTAAGTGCGAAGCACTTTTGGGGCTCGGGCTGTCGTAGCCTGTCGTCAACACTTGGTGTTGCGCGAGCAAACCACGTACAACATAAGCATCTGTAGTATATTTAGCGCGCTCACGCCAAGAAGTATTGTCTTTCTTGTTTTCGTGTGCCTTGGTGATTATGGTAAGTGTGCAGAACTTTAGCGGCTGCGTTTTACAGCGAAAGCTGTTATGGTATCACAATCACGTCTTTCTCGGTGCCGTAATTGTCCGCCGCCGCCGCCGGTGTCTGTAACCGCTGTGGAACGAAATGAAAAAAAAAGCAGTAACAATGCCACAGTGGGGCTCGAACCCCGGTCCGCTAGGTCCCAGCCCAGTATTCTATCACTCAGCAATGCCGGTACTTGGGACTTGTTGGCAAACTTGCCTTAGGCCCGCTTGATGTCGGGAAAGCCATCGCGTTAATAGGACTTTTAACGCGTTTTAAAACAGCAATAAAACAACCAGTCGTCACACGATGCGAATAGCGTAACGAGTGGGTCGTCCAATGCTCCAACTTATTACAAAAATTTGTTCTTGTTCTACTAATAACTGTGGCGCATACCCAATTCAGGTATCAATCCTCATCATCATCAGGCACTGCATGAACAACTGGTACAAAAGTTCTTGCAAGTTTTAGCGGATATCCCGCCTCTCGTAAGATTGACGGAACATATCATAGCAAATGCCAGCCTACAACCAAATTATTTTTATAATTAATGCTGTTGTGGGTATCATGCAAGTGAGCTTGCAGCAGCTACAAAATGAGTGAGAAGAGGCTCCGAAAGAGTGGCTTTTCTAGAGCCCTTTCTACACATTCTTTGGGTAACTGCTGCAATACTTGCATGGTACCCACTATGCCATAAAACACCATATTTATGTGTAGTAGAGAAGCATTCACCATGTTACTTTTTTGTATCAGTTCTTGTATATCAGTTACCCGTTACCCAACAATTACAAGAAAGGCTCTAAGAGGTCGCTTTTCCAGCTTTCGCCGTGATTGTGCTGCACGTTTCGTGCGGGCCTGGCGGTCTATTTTAAATCGTGCCATTGCTGTCAAGAACACTGGCGGTGGCGGCTGACAACTTCGCACTAAAATCATTTCTTGATTATATTTCTCTACAGCTTTCGCTGTAAAACTAGACATAGAAAATCCCTCCCAGTTTTCTATTGCGGGGTCCCACAAGAGCAATTTGGTACAATTGCATTGTCGTACAAGAAAGTGCGCAGTTTCCCCAATGATTTAAAATGTCAAAATGGGACGTCCTGTGTTTCTAGCAGAGTGTCCAAATGTCTTGGGAAGCAACAAACGTTTTATTGCGTTATTGTCATTTTACAAGAATGGTTAAGTGGGCATGTGCTATACAAAACCAGGAGTCCTTTTGTATAGATAGTTTTTTTTCGTCAGATATCCTTTTCGCCTATTTCTCATCAAGTTAGGAGCAGCCAGCGTTGCTTCAGTTGACTTATACTACCTGTTCAAGTGTCACCACAACCTATGACTGCTTCTGTATCTTATACTAAACTTAACGTGTCCCTTAATATTTAAAAAGATTGACCTAGCTATGTGTCGCAGCATCCTTATTTGGGAAATTGCTTTTTCCAGGAACCCTTGACTACTGATAAACTTTTGCAAGAACAAGAAATCTATTTGCTTAGTTTTGTCACACGTAAAGCATTGTATACATGTTTGCAATTATTTCTATCCGCGCCTTCCTATTTCTCGATAAACTATCGCACCACATGAATTTTAAACTCCTTTCAGGCCACTCAAAATGTCTCTACTGGATTAAAGAGGGGACCAAGAGAAGTGCCAACAATGCATGTGAAGACGCCTTCTTCTATAATTGTAGCTATTTGACTGGTAACATTTACCTTATGCAAGAGCACAGGACAGTCTGCAATTTCAGTACCAACACTTCAGGACATTCTCGTTGATCATTTAGGAATCACAATGTTGCAATATTTATTATTACCTCAAATAAAGACACATTTTTTACAGTTATCGCTAGTGTCCCCTAAGTCGCATTGTTCCTTCGCTCGTGAACGCTTAGCAGTTTTTTATACTCACGCATTGTTATTCATTAATATTGTCCCTCTAAAAGTACATACTTCATAGAACTGATTATTAAGCTGTATCTGCATCCTGTATTTGTCATTGGAATGACATTTGCATATTATCGTCATCACGATAGTTGCTCGGCTAAACATTCTGTTTTTCTGATATGAACTATCAAGAAAAATGAACATGCCGCAGTATGATAACTTATAGATAACTTAGTAGTATGATAACTAGTGGTGGTAGCGGTGGGGTCGGTCGGTCGGTCGGTCGTTCGGTCGGTCGGTCGGTCGGTCGGTCGGTCGGTGGGTCGGTCGGTCGGTCGGTGGGTCGGTCGGTCGGTCGGTCGGTCGGTCGGTCGGTCGGTCGGTCGGTCGGTCGGTCGGTCGGTCGGTCGGTCGGTCGGTCGGTCGGTCGGTCGGTCGGTCGGTCGGTCGGTCGGTCGGTCGGTCGGTCGGTCGGTCGGTCGGTCGGTCGGTCGGTCGGTCGGTCGGTCGGTCGGTCGGTCGGTCGGTCGGTCGGTCGGTCGGTCGGTCGGTCGGTCGGTCGGTCGGTTGGTCGGTCGGTCGGCGAAAAGTATGGGGGAAAATAAAAAAATGGCCTGAGTAACTACAGGCTAGTGCGAGTAGTATGCGTTTGAATCATTCGCCTCCTAAGTGTCTTTCGCTCTCACATAGTTTCGCTCTCACATGGTTTCGCTCTCACATGTCTCTCCTATACACATGGTTGACTTTGCCCGAAACCCTATAGCAAAGGTCTGTAGATCAGCGCAGGAGACATTCGCATACGATGAATTGTGTACTGAATGAACTGCGTTCGTGGTGAACAGCTGTACAAGATGAACCGTACAGGGAGAGATAAAATACTTTTGAAAACATCGGTCCGGGTAGCCAGCCAAAGCAGGCGAACCCACGTAACCAAGACGGTGCCTCTCCAAATCCGTAAGCGACGATTCGAGAAGTCGTCATTTGAGCCATTATGCATTTAAGCTTAAACAAATAGACACATTATTCATTTAAACATGAACTCTAATCAAAATGCCTGCTTATTAACTAACTAAATACTAACCGTTTACTTGTCACAAACAGCACTATCGTCCAAATAAGGGAAGCTAGTAAAATGCTGTTTAGTGAAAATTGCTAGTTCGCAAAGTAGATGGTGAATAGTGCTGGCCTGAATAAATAGTGAACTACTCAATTTTTAGTTAACGGTCGTTTATATGTGCATGTACACTCGCACAAGAAGAAAATTCAATTACAGAAGTAGATATAGAATAATAGGCGAAGTGAACTGGTCCGCGTCACTTAACTTGTAGCCACTAGTTACTTCATGTAATTACCATGGTGAGTACACATCCCAGCAACATGGATAAAGGCATGAACGAATGACAGACAAGAACATGCACGCAAACGCGCACATAGAATATCATTAGTTAGCCAGCGCTGTATAGTGTATAGCAGCCGTTTGAAGGCTATTATGCTCTTTGTAATAGCTCAGTGTTTGCTAGTTATCAGTCGTAGAGTGTGAAAACAAATTATGGGCGTTTGCAATAAATATATATATATATATATATATATATATATATATATATATATATATATATATATATATATATATATATATATATATATATATATATATATATATAGTACGCTTCCACATACCACCTGTATATTCAGCCGATGATTCGACGGGAGCCCAGTCTTTTTCAAGGCATAATAATATTTACACATTTTCGTGTCTTCTTATGGCTTCTCGAGGCAGAAGGGACCACTACGTGGCGGTTCTTGACCGCATCCGGCATGAGAGACCCGACATCACCATGGTGTTTGCCACCCGAGTGCACCCCCGAGCCCCCAACGAATGACATCCCCGACACAACTGGCGTGCGGTGAGGAGGTTCAACTTTGAGGCTCGGGAGTTGAACCTGCGGCTGCTGAATTTGTGCCATGAGAGAGAGGGCGTTTTCTATGTAAACCATCGGATCGACGCACTCCAGCCATGGACTGTGCTCGCAGTCAATGGTCTACACCCGAGCTTCGACATAGTGTTTCTCCTAACATGGAACATCTACAACGTGCTCCTCGATCTACGGCGGCCCTACATCAACAACTGGCTGGACCACGCACAACAGCCGGAGGCGTACTAGCTTCGGGGTTCGGCATCCTACTCCCAGGCACTCCAGCGTGACCTTCCCGGTGACACCTGTCGAAGCGGCGAAGGGAAAAAGGAGAACCGAGTGGCCCCACAAACAGCCGCTGTCCCTTTTACAGGCCAGCAGATCCCAGCGGGTCCCCCATCACGGAGTGCGCGACCGCCGTCACGCGTACCACAGCTGTTGACGCTGCCTATGAGGCACACCCCGAAAAAGTCGACGAAGGTTAATCAGGGCCAACAACGACGGCCAGCTGCACCACAATCAACAACAACCAGTGGCCAGAATCAACCATCTCCAAGCAGAGAAAATCAGCAGGCAACATTAGCCAAGCGCAACCAACGGCCAGCAGCAGCGATTAGCAGCCGCCTACAGGCCATCTCATCACGGGAGACACAATGGGACGGAGCTCCAATTGAAACCAGGTACGATCACCGGGTACCTTGTGGTTCTAGTCGCCGCGTCTGTGCAAAGTGACATACTGGCTGAGCGAATGGGCAAACGCCGTCCGCTTCAGAAGAATTAGACCACAGAACAGATCCAAATTTTTTAGACGTAGAAAATTGTTGACAAACTAATACAGGACGAACTTCACGTGCGTAATGTCGAAGAATATGTACTGGCAGGTACTACTCCGAAGGGGCTGCGCTTGTCGCTAACACAATCGATGCATAGTTTTGCCAAAAGGGAAATGAAACAGTGAAACGAAATTCTCAATCACACCACACAGGAGCTACTTATATATAAGGTCACCATTGAACACTGTAGAAAGACTCTAAACGCACTGACTGACGAGGAGTGCTATATAAAAAAGAGCTTTCCTCATTCGAAATCAGAGACTAAAGAGCTCAACGTATTTGAGCACAGAAAAACGGAGGAAGTAGAAAATTTTAAGAGTAAGAAATTTATGTGGAACAATGTCTCACCACAAGCTAATACCCTCTGCTGCTTACATGAAAAATACCAAGCCACCTCACGTTCAGAAAGATTTGCCAGCACATCCCAAAAAAACCAAACGTTATTAACCTCTCAGATAAAGAACTTAGCCACGAAGAACTGAGTGTACTATCACGCAGATTTACATTCTGCCAGGGCAATGGAAAGTACCACGCTTCTAAAAGACCTAGACGACCTCAAACAAAATTTGCGATTAGTGGAATACTGCTTCGATCAATTCCAAAAAGATAACCCGCTATTTCGTGGGCTAATCGGATGGCAATGTACCCAGACGCCAACAGAGATCGGCATCTGGATCTCTATATAGACGCGGTTCAGAAAGATGTCATACATGTGTACAAGGTGCACAAACCAAGTATGAATTACATATCAGGGAAAAAAAGCAAGGCACTACTCTAGTTGAGCAACCGCGAAGATCTCGTCACTAAACCAGCAGACAAAGGAGGCGCGGTTTTTGTTCTGAATAGATCGGACTACGTTCAGGAAGGCAAGCGACAACTAAAGGAGTAACAATTCTACAAACACCTCGACTCGAACCCTACCTATAGGCACAAAAAGATCATCGTAACAATCCTAAAGAATCTCACACGTGATGACGCCATTGATTCAAAGCTTCAAAGGTACTTACTACGGCACATTCGGCGCCTTATCTTTTTTACATGCTGCTGAAGATTCATAAGGGGGGAAACCCTGGAAGACCCATTATATCAGGCATGGGAACGTTAACAGAATCTATTTACTGTTATATCGATTTTTTGATCAAAGACATAGTACCCACACACGAGTCCTTTTTGTGTGACACAAACCGTTTGCTTTGGGAAATATGGGACGTGAAATTCCAGACGGCGCATTTCTCGTAACATTGGATGTTAGTTCACTCTACAAAAATAACCAGCATGACGATGGTGTAAGGGCACTTGTTGAATCGTATGGCACCCACAACTCTTACGTATCTACAAGCGAAAAAGTTATTGAAACCTTCACGAGACTTGTACTCGAATTGAACAGGTTTGAATGTAACAACCGGCACTACTTTCAAATCAGCGGCACGGCAATGGGTACAAGAATGCCCCAAACTACGCTAACATATTCATGCACCATATAGAGTCCGATTTTCTTGTCTATTGTGATATTAAATCTTTCATTTATGAACGGTACCTAGGTGATTTATTCATGATGTGAACACATTCAGAAAACGAGCTGCTCCAATTCATACAGTCATGTAACCAAGTGCACCCAGCATTTCTTTTACACACTACTACTCCAACAATGAAATAAGCTACCTTAATTTACTTATTCAAATTGACGGTGGTGCGTTGGTAACGAGCGTAAATGAAAACGAACGGACAGACAACAACACTTGCACTTCAAAAGATGCCGCCCGTGACATTGGAAGACCAGCATTCCCTATTCCCAAAGACACAGATTACGACGAATCTGTTCCCGCACCGAGTACTTCCACAAAAACAGTGCACGTATGCACGAAGCACTTCTTCATCAAGAATACCTGCCAGCTATCATCGATGACGCCATGAAAAAAGCGGAAAATCTGGACCGCTAGACTTTTTTAAACCACGTGAATGATGGCGACCAGCGCCGCAACAAAACATTGCTATCGACTTTTAGGAGCAACCCACCGAACATAAACAAAGTCCTAAAAAAACACTTCAACATATTAAAACACAGTGTGCGGCTATCCAAATTTTTCACTCCTCCTCCTTGTGTGCTATACAGGTGGCCGAAAAGTATGAAGGATTATTTAATAAATTCAAAGGTAGGCATGAAACCTCAAACTGGGGGCCGCCCTTGCACAAAAAAGCAGATGAAAAGTATGCAAACACATGCAGACCACGCGGAAAGCACCCACTCGGATTTTAAGCCCAGGATAAGTGGTGCACTAGACTGTGATTCAGACAACGTCTTATACCTTCTGGAATGTGGGGTATGTAACATGCAATACGTCGGCCAAACAGACACACCATTTAGTATTAGATTCAACAACGACCGGGCCCATGTACGTTCCCTGCCAGACCTTCCACTTTCAAAACACAGTACATTAACCACAGCTTTGATGAAATTAGGGTTACACTCTTGGAAAACAATTATCGAACTATTAGAGAACGGTAACAACGGGAATCTTACTTTATTTACGAATTTATAAAAAACAGAATGAATGAACACCCAGGCGCTCTGTCAGCGTTGCGATCACTAAAAGACGCAAATGCTTCTCTCTAATCAGTCCTCTGCCCCTAGCCTCCCATTGTGACAATAATATTACCCCTAACGCAGCTGTAAGCGTATGCGTTTGACAATAGAAAATTAGTTTGCCGCTTCAAGCACAGCTGGAACGCACAGATAAGTAGTCCCGGATGTCGTACAGAGCTTTTTATATTTTTTTCTTTTTTCTTCTTCTTTCTCTCTCTTACTTTTCTAACGCACCTTTCCTTCTCCTTTGTTGACAGGAGCCAATGCACAAAGTGAATATTGATGGCGATGCCACAATTAGCGGCTTTTTGCAAACTTTCCACGACACCAACATGCACTCGAAGCGCTTAAGTATCCCCCACCGATTTGTCGTAAACTACAAAAGAGAACAAGCCGCCAGTGGACTGCACCGGAAGCTGCAATACTAAAACGGTCGTCACACTGTCTACTTAGGGGAAGGGTGAGTGCGTGGGAGGTATTGTCGACAATGATGGCATGGCCCTTTTACGTTCGCTTTACTCTCTTGAGATGCTGTCCCTTCCTAATCCCGTTGTGTTTTTCTTGCTTATTCTCAAGTTTTCTTTTATTTCTTAAAGTTTCTCCCTCGGTTTTTTTAAAGACTATAGTCTTTCTTAGGGACCTTCGACGAAAAAATTTTGGTCTGTCTGTCCATTTGTCTGTTTGTCCGCCTTAACGATACCTCAACGGCATCAAACGGCCAACCCCACCCGCAGCGCCAACCATCATTGCTCAAGGTTTAGCGTTCACAGTTGTGCGATTGTCAATTAAAAGCAACTATTGCGCATATTTGAGGCGCCACAACAACGGTTCGACGTTTTTTTTATATCTGCCTTTATACTAGAAGAGGCACACACAAGTAACTCTAAGGAATGTATAGCGTTTAATCGCGCTGCGCTGACAGTGCAACGCGATGCTCAAAAAGATGTTTCCAACGCTTTGCTACGATCTGACAGTGGTGGCACCTGTCCGTCGCTTTGTGTTCAACACCTTATCACCTCCGAGACTGGCGCGCATCTTTCTCCGTGGGCTGCACGCCTTCGTTTTCGAAGATAACTGCCAGCTGGCACTTGTGTCTAACGTGCCTAGATGCGCTCGTTCGCCTCCACCACACGCTCGAGGCACTCTAACGCAGCGCCTGCAGAATACCATTTAGCGATTTTCTTGCGCAGAACATCAAATAAAGGTTTTGTTCACTCTCTCCAGACGCAAGAATATCGTCTTCCGACGACATTTACAGTGTGACATGTAGATTCGGGCCAATTTTTTTTCTCTCTCTACTCTTCTCTCCTGTCTCTAGAAGCTATAAGAACACACGGAAAATGTGCAAATATTATCATGCCTTGAAAAAGACGAGGCTCCCATCAAAACATCGGCTGAATATACAGTTGTTATGTGCAAGCGCATCTACTTTCATACTTATGACTTTGTAAAAACCAAAGTTAATCTTCTGCATATATGCCTTATATATTGCTACGGGGCACCGCAGCCACAAATGAACATAATAGGAAAGACGACGATGTTTAGTGTGAGCTCGTGCAGACTGGGCTCCATATTGTATGCCTGCCTGCCTACTGTTTTTCTAAAGTAAAGTTATTTTTCAGACCCCTTCTTCCTGTAACAATATATATATATATATGTATATATATATATATATATACATATATATATATATATATATATATATATATATATATATATATATATATATATATATATATATATCCTCAGCCTGACCACGATGGATGGATGGATGGATGGATGGATGGAGGATATGGCTGTACCCTTTAGATCGGGTGGTGGCTAGCGCCACC